TGGAGGATTGAGAAGCAGTTTATACTCGTATACTCTTCGGAGTGTTCATTCAACTTAATTTAGCGTTATGATGCCAGCTTCAACCAAGGTTTGGATGCTATTCTTGAGAGCGAAGCAAGCCTTGGTGGGATGAAGGATCCTCCTGTGGTACACACAGTACTTTGGATCCGAAGTGTTATCAGCTTCCTCTTGATCTGCGATAGGTGGTAGCTTGATCTTGTTATTTTTAAGGAGGGACTCGAAAATGACTGGAACATCTTCGTCCTTGAAGGAGTACTCCTTTTGGAGTCTTGGATCCGAAGTCTTTTGTTGTCTTCGGGGTTGTTGTTATGACGTCAGATTAACTTTAATAACTGTTGTAGGTGCCTTGCCCTTACCACGGGAAGCGAAGTTCGAATTCAAAGGATTAGCCGTCGGTTGGCTCCTCACGGCCTTTTTCCTTCGGAGGAAGCGTTCGACCTGCTCTCCGCGCGTCTTCAACTCTTTCCATGTGTTGGACGGTGCGACTCTCATAACTTCTAATATCTCAATAGATAGGTTGTTATGACATGTTTGGAGGATGAAGTCCTCTGTGATCGGATCTCGGTAGTTCATCACCTTATTTCGAAAACGCTTGACGAAGCCCTCGACTGTCTCGTCGTCTTCTTGTTTCTCATCGAAGAGTGTCCTGATGGATACATTGACGTTATCATCAAAGAAGTGAGCAAGGAACATGCTCTCCATATCGTCCCAGCTATTGATACTTCCAGGCTTGAGATAGCGGTACCAATCGAAGGCAGGCCCGTGAAGGGTGCCAATGAATGATCGAATCATCAAAGGATCATTGCCAGAGATTACTCCTAAGTGGGACTTGAAGTTGATCAGATGCTGAGTGGGAGAGCCCTTCCCATCAAACGACGTGAAGTTGATCAGGTTGAACTTTGTCGGGTATGGGATCGAATCCTACTCCCTTAGGTAAGGACACAGAATACTGGTCCTTTTCACCTCTCGAGCAGACATTAGAGCGTTGATTTTGCTCTCAAGTTCTTTTATTTTCTCATCCTCGTTCGTATCAGGCCTTGGACGATTCTTAAGAGGAACAACGGGGCTACCCCCAGTGTTGTCATCTTCAGTAAGACCACCCCCAGCATCGTTGTTTTTAGTAGGGCCACCCCAGCGTTTTGGTCAATGAGAGGGTCATCTGCATTGATGTGTTCATCCATGTCTGAATTGCTGCCTGCTTGGTTAGCAGTGTTGTAATGGCTAGATTCACCAAATTGATTGGACAGAGCCCGAATCTGTTGGTCATGCTCTTCCTTCATTCGCTGCATAGCCATTTCCATTTCAATCTTAAATGCCTCTTTCTGCTTGGTTAGAGCATCCTCAAGAATTTTGGTGATTTGCTCGGTGTTGATCACGAATGCCTCGTGGGATTGTCCTGGGCTGAACAGCGTTTTGTCAGAAGTGACTGCAGAGTTGGCATATGATGCTTCATCATCCGAGGATAATCCCCTCTGCATTCTCTGATAATCTCTTTGTCTAATAGTTCTTGATCACAACCGGGTTAGATGATGCGATATAAGCGAGTCAAAGCTAGAAGGTCGAATCAATTTTCCCTTATCAGCCATATTTATTATGACTTCCGAAAGTTTGTCACCTTGAACGGTTGATTGTTTCTTGCGGAAACCTTGGACTTAGTCGCTCCGTTAGAGATCCTCTCAAATACCAAGACCCTCTGCGGAGCGATCTTAGGGTAGCTACACGCTGATAATACTGTCCTGATTATCTTGGTACATGGACAATGAAAGTCCATCTCCCGAGAATCTCTCTTTTGAGGTCTGTTCGTACCCCCAGCCCGATAGTACAACTCATCAGCATAATGACCGGAGTAATCTATCACGTGTTGGCATTACTTCTCAGGTATAACGTGGTCGTCTGATGAAGACATTTCCTTCTGAGGACTTATTACCTTAATAGCGTTCTCAAGAGTCACACATTTGGAGCCACACTTTCGTGAATATGGGACCTTAACGGGCTCTTGGACACTGACCCGCAGTCAAAGGCGGTCAGTTACAGGAGTTTTCCCATTATAGAAAGGCTCTGACTTGTTGTAAGGGCGTGTGAGACCCCTCAGCTTGAGTAGTTGCTCGGGGTTCAGTCACCGAACCTAAGCACTTTTTGATCAAAACTTTGCCTCGATCCTTGTGCAAAGGACCCAGACGATCCGCCATTAGCTTCTTGCTTTTGAACAAGTCTACGCTACGGCGAGGCTTCACTAGAAGTATTGGATCAATGAGAGTAGGGGAGGAACTCGATGGAACAGGTGCAGAATGTCTCCTGTCTTGGCCCTGGCGCGGGTCAGACCCACGGTTAGGAGGGTCAGACTTGAGTGACCCACGGCACGGAGGGTCAGACTTGAGTGACCCACGAGCTGGAGGTTCAGACTTGAGTGACCCACGGCATGGAGGGTCCGACTTGAGTGACCCGCGAGTTGGAGGGTCAGACTTGGGTGACCCACAAGCTGGAGGGTCAGACTTGGGTGACCCGCGGGCTGGAGGGTCAGATTTGGGTGACCCGCGGCTTGAAGGGTCAGACTTGAGTGTGAAGTGATCCGTAATTTTTAATCTTTTCGGCCGCCGTCTTGGACTTTGGCCTCCAAGTTTGATGCAGCCTTGGTTGTTTCGTGGCTATATCCTTCTTCTGCATCTTTTGTGCCTTTTGCACAAGAATTCGCGTGTGCGCGAGTAGTACGCGATGCTCTTGAATGCGTTCCTCAAGGGTCAAACGGGTCCTTTTGACTTGGATCCATTCATTCGTTGAGGACTTAGAGGGTTGGTCATTCATCCGCTGTTGGGATGCTTGACGCTCCTTGAATTTCAGATCCGCTTCATAACGGATCCCGTCTATAGGCTCCAAAGCCTTGGCGAATTGGCGCGCGAGGGGTTGGCGCTGCCTTTGGCGGGCTCTTTTCGATAAAGTAGGCACGCCTTCAGTACTCAACTCCTTGATTGAGGAGGAGTTCAGATCTGTAACTCTGACTTCATTGGAGGCCGGAGGGGCATTACGAGGTGCAACCATTACAGCAACAAGGGGGTTGATCTTTCTGTGCTTGCGAATTCATTACAACTTCGGGCGTTATAATAAATTCAAAACAAAGATAGCCTTTTTATAAGACTTTCAATACAATGAAAATAGATTACAACTCTCTTTCAAACAACACGTAACAGGTGTTTATCGCCTATTGCTTTCGCGGGATCTTTGCCTGTGCCGGGGTTTATCCGTGGATCACCTACGGATCGGATCCGGTTGACAGAAAATTGACAAAGCTTCTACTTTACCAAGAAAGTATTCTCTTGAAGCTCTGAAATCGACCAAGCGAAATCAGTAGCTCTTCTCGAGATTAAGACCAAGCCTAATCTCAAGGAACGGACTGACGGGGCTTCAGATCTCTCAAACTCTCCCTCTTTATGCTGAAGAACTTTGCCGAGATCAGTTAGCCTCCTCTAAAATTCGTGCTCCCTTGCTCTCCAACTCGGCAGCACCTCCTCGTCTTGATAAAATTCTGCCCCTGTGAAATGAGCTCCTAGGCCTGTATTTATAGGCTTCAGATACGGGTCTTCGGATGAGAATAAACAATTTGGCCTTATCTTCAGTTAATAATGACCTAACCATGTTTGTGGATGATATCAAGTCAGTTGGGAACCCCTGGAACAGATAAATCCCAAGAAAACAGCACAAAACCATCAAAAACGTGTTTTCGGGTTAGAATTACATGAAACGGCTTGTACTGAACCGCGTCGGACGGATCCGTCCCGCGCCGACGCGGGTCGGAATGATCCGTCCCGCGCCAACGCGGGTCGAAATGATCTCTCCCACGCTGGCGTGGGTCGGACGGATCCGTCCCGCGCTGGCACGGGTCCGCCAGCGTTGTCTCGCGTGGTTGTGGATTAACCGCCTCAGCTGAACTTCTTCTTTTTGGCACTTTGCGACTTTTCGGGACTTGTACTTTCTGTCTCTTTATTTACTTGTCCATCGTGTTGACTTGTACACTCCGCGCGCGTTGACTGAAGCGCGCGCGTTGACTGACGTGCACGTGTTGACTAACGTACGTGCGTTGACTGAGGTGTGTGGGCTGACTGACGTGCGCAGTGGCCAATTAGATAATTCTTCTTGAATCGTCCACTCTTTGTTTCGAGCTGTGTGCGGACACCTATAGGTATTTTTTAGACGCCTACAGTTTATTACAAACTGCGGCTTATAAGCACACAATTTCTGAATGGGATGATTACATGCAAGAATTAGCATCGATCGATCAAAGGGCTTATGTTACTACAATTGAATACTCCCCAGAGAGATGGACAAACACTTATTTCCCTGGTATAAGGCATGATACCATTGTTTAAACTTTAATTGTTAAGGTTACATTTTAGTTGTTATGGTTACAGTTATGTTGTTAAGATTATAGTTATGTTGTTAAAATCACAGTTTGGTTGTTAAGAGTACAGTTTTGTTGTGAATGTTACAGTTTCATTATTAAGTCTACAAATTTGTTGTTAATATTAGGTTTTGGTTGTTAAGGGCACAGTTTTGTTGTTAAGATTACAGTTTTATTGTTACGTCTACAAATTTGTTGTTAAAGTTAGATTTTGGTTGTTATGGTTAGAGTTTTGTTGTTAAGTTTAATTTTTTTGTTGTTAAGGTTATGTTTTGTTTGTTAAGGTTAGAGTTTTGTTGTTAAGTTTACCGTTTCGTTGTTAAGGTTAAGTTTTAGTTGTTAAGGTTATGTTTTAGTTGTTATGCTTACATCTTAGTTGTTAAGGTTACAGGCAAACTTATAAAAAAAATTATGTGATTTACAGGTATGACCATGTTACTTCGAACGTTGTTGGGTCCTTCAATAGTTTGATAAGAAAGGCACAAATATTATGTATCTTACCCTTGGTGGAGATGATATGAAAGAAAATCATGGAGCGCCTGCATGAAAGAAGGCTTATGGCAACGAAATGGTCTAGATAATTATGTCAGGTTGAAGGGACTTCCCTCTCAATCTTAATGTCAGCCACGATCTGTAGAGTACCTGATTCAAAAAAAAATAGAAGATTCAAAATATAATTATGAAAAAACAACCACTATCTAACCTTAACAACTAATCCATATACTTAACAATCAATCCATAAACTTAACAACCAATCCTTAAAATTAATAATCAATCAATATACTTAACAATCAATCTCTACCATTAACAATCAATCTCTAACCTTAACAACAAATCCCTGACATTAACAACCAATCCTAACCCTAACAACCAATTTGTAACCTTAACAACCAATTTATAATTTTAACAACTATGCAATATAATTCACAAGTAATGAAAAAAGGATCTAACCTATACAAGTTTGCATCTCCATCGCTGGGTTGGACACCTCTCCCGTCAGCCTCTTATTGTTATATACAATGAGGATGTTGCATCGGGCATTGCTCAACTCCTCTCTCAGCCTTCTCACTTGTGCAGACAGAGAAGCCACTTTTATAGATAAAAAAGTTATCTCTAGTCGGTCGGGAGCAATCTAATCTTTCAATTTCTTCTTATTGTCGCGACGTAATTTTGATTCATTATCACGATCCTCTTCCAATAGCTCACTTGCTGAGGCAATTCCATTTGATCAACTGCCTCATTGCGTTGCTTGATCGCTTCATCAATATTATGTGGCATATGTTAGACCCTTGTAGGTGTAAATTTTGATCTCCCGAAAATAGGGAACTTCGTTTGTATTAATAAGAAGACTTATTACAAACTAATAAATCAAATGTTTACAACAGAAGCGGGGGGAAGGCCCTCCTTGTTTAACGTGGGTTCCTCGGTGGCGATAGGACGCCTCGCTCGGTGCTCGTGCCGAGTCTACTTCCCTTGGACGATCCGATCAAAGTTGCTGCCGGAGCTTCAGTACACAGTAGAAACTCGGTTCGATGGAGTTTGGGTCTTCTAGTTCACCGGCGATCGGGGCTCAGAACTAGGAAGTGGCGCTGCAATGCAAAAGTGATGCAGAGAGCTTGTCGTCGACTCCGTTGGGAGTCGAGAGCCAGTGGTTCAGTTAACTGATTGAATTAATCAATTAACTATGTGTGAACCTCCTTCCTGTAGCCGGGCGAGGTTCTTAAATAGAGGAGAGATGGCGTGGCCGCTCCTTGAATCATGGGATGTGACCATACACTATTGAGAGACATCTTGTCGCTCTTCTGTACTACGAACCGTCACTCGATGGGTCGTGTTTCACGTCCTGTCGCCTAGGAGCGGTCGTCCATTACTCGAGTGGATTGGGCCAGCTCACTGTGCGCTGGCGGTTCCAGCTCTTGACTTGGACCGATGAGCTGAGTTGCATTTATGAACGCGCAGGTTGATCTGGCATCTGTCCGATCACTCGTACCGTGAGCGGTCACTCGACGGGCCTGGAGTACCGTGTCTTCTCTCTTCAGACCGAGAGAGGTGGGAAAGCGGGTTCCTGGTACTCGAGTGGGCTTGGACAGCTCGCCGGGTGCTGGCGGATCCGGCTCTTGACTCAGACAGCCGAGGTGAGCTGCATTTATGAATGTTCAGGTCGACTCGATACCTGCCCAATCATTCATACTGTGAGCGGCCGCTTGACGGTCTTGGGGTACTGTGCCCTCTCCCTTGATTTGTGGGATTTGACCACTAATGTAACTATTCTCATACTCCAAGTGGGGAGTTGACAGTGAGCTGGCGAGTCTGCAGCTTGGTTTTGCAGTCGAGCTTAGGACTGCATGCAGACTTGGGTCTGCAGGCGAGCTTGCAGGAGAACTGGGTCTGCAGGCGAGCTCAGGTGCGCAGGCAGACTTGGGTCTGCAGGCGAGCTAGCAGGCGAATTGGGTCTGCAGGCGAGCTCAGGTGCGCAGGCAGACTTGGGTCTTGATCGCGCAGGCGAAATTCGAGCTGCAGGCGAGCTCCTGAGCATGGATCGAAGAATAGGCCGTAACTTTCAAACCGTAAGTCGGAATTGGACGAATTATATATGAAAATCGCCTATCTCGACGAGATGGGGCCATCCGAACCGAGCCAAAGGCTTCGGTTTGCTTCGGTTTGGGAGATATCTGCGTTTTCCCCTTTTTCTGCTATTTCGGGCGAGGTTTTAGCAGTTTTATTCTGAACTTCTCTGATAAGGATTAAAGGCAATTTTTATTGCCTACAAAACCCCCTCCAAAGTTTTCAGACCTGAATCGGGCCGCATGGGGTCTGGAACACTTTGGATATGAAGACCCATAAAGTGATCCCTGCTCAGATGGAGTGAGGAGTCCTCCAACAAGCTCGGTGAAGCTGACCTCTTCGCTCGCAGCTGATGATCGCCTTCTAGGATTTTGAGCAAACCCTCAGCTATCAACGGACTTGATTCGTCTTTACCAACTGCCGTTTGAGTTGGACTAGCCATGCTCTTGCCCTTAGCATGGTAAGTTGTCGAGGAGTCTCTCTTAGGCTCAATGCTAAAATTTCTCCTCTATCCTTAGCCTTTCGAGGCGTTTGGATTTAAGGGAGCAGTTTAACCTCGTATACCAGTCGGAGGGTAGGAGCAGTTTAAGTTGGAGTGGAGGGAACAATTTATACTCGTATACCCGTTGGAGTCTAGGGGGGAAGCTTATCTTCTCTTAGGGCAAAGATGAAGACGAACCCTGATTTGTCTTCTTTTGGGGCAAAGATGAACCCTGAAATAGCAGCACATCGCATAGTAGGCCACTATCAAACAACAACGCCTTTTATGGGAAAGACGGTGCTGGGAGAATCAAATCGTTCAGGGACGTATGAGTGTGACGATTGATTGGACAACATCATTTGCGGGAATGATGGTGTCGGCTATCAGAGGTAATCGTTAACATGATAAGAATTGCCGCGATCGGAGCGACTTTGAGGACCTACCATCCTTTTGAAGAGGATTGGTAAGTTGATTTTGTCAGAGGTGTAGTGTTAACATGACAGTGGGAGTTTATTGCGATTTGAGCAACTCTATGGACCTACCATCCTATTGAAGAGGACTGGTAAGTTGATTTGTCAGAGGTAACTGTTAACGTGACAGATTTGGGGGTCCCGCCATCCTATTGAAGAGGATTGGCGGGGGATTGTGGCTTTGGTCCTAACTATCTGAAGGTTTGACCAAGTGGGAGTTTGATGCAGCCCACCTGAACTGCTAGTATTGCCTGTTTTGAGCGGTTCGCCATAAATGGAAACCTGGCTCAGGAAGTGGGGCTCACCTAACTGTTAGGCTCGCCTGATTTGAGCGGTTCGCCGAAACTGGGAACCTGGCTCAAAGAGATGGGCTCGCCTAAACTGTTAAGCTCGCCTGATTTGAGCGGTTCGCCGAAACTGGGAACCTGGCTCAAAGAGATGAGCTCGCCTCAACTGTTAAGCTCGCCTGATTTGAGCGGTTCGCCGAAACTGGGAACCTGGCTCAAAGAGATGAGCTCGCCTCAACTGTTAAGCTCGCCTGATTTGAGCGGTTCGCCGAAACTGGGAACCTGGCTCAAAGAGATGAGCTCGCCTCAACTGTTAAGCTCGCCTGATTTGAGCGGTTCGCCGAAACTGGGAACCTGGCTCAAAGAGATGAGCTCGCCTCAACTGTTAAGCTCGCCTGATTTGAGCGGTTCGCCGAAACTGGGAACCTGGCTCAAAGAGATGAGCTCGCCTCAACTGTTAAGCTCGCCTGATTTGAGCGGTTCGCCGAAACTGGGAACCTGGCTCAAAGAGATGAGCTCGCCTCAACTGTTAAGCTCGCCTGATTTGAGCGGTTCGCCGAAACTGGGAACCTGGCTCAAAGAGATGAGCTCGCCTCAACTGTTAAGCTCGCCTGATTTGAGCGGTTCGCCGAAACTGGGAACCTGGCTCAAAGAGATGAGCTCGCCTCAACTGTTAAGCTCGCCTGATTTGAGCGGTTCGCCGAAACTGGGAACCTGGCTCAAAGAGATGAGCTCGCCTCAACTGTTAAGCTCGCCTGATTTGAGCGGTTCGCCGAAACTGGGAACCTGGCTCAAAGAGATGAGCTCGCCTCAACTGTTAAGCTCGCCTGATTTGAGCGGTTCGCCGAAACTGGGAACCTGGCTCAAAGAGATGAGCTCGCCTCAACTGTTAAGCTCGCCTGATTTGAGCGGTTCGCCGAAACTGGGAACCTGGCTCAAAGAGATGAGCTCGCCTCAACTGTTAAGCTCGCCTGATTTGAGCGGTTCGCCGAAACTGGGAACCTGGCTCAAAGAGATGAGCTCGCCTCAACTGTTAAGCTCGCCTGATTTGAGCGGTTCGCCGAAACTGGGAACCTGGCTCAAAGAGATGAGCTCGCCTCAACTGTTAAGCTCGCCTGATTTGAGCGGTTCGCCGAAACTGGGAACCTGGCTCAAAGAGATGAGCTCGCCTCAACTGTTAAGCTCGCCTGATTTGAGCGGTTCGCCGAAACTGGGAACCTGGCTCAAAGAGATGAGCTCGCCTCAACTGTTAAGCTCGCCTGATTTGAGCGGTTCGCCGAAACTGGGAACCTGGCTCAAAGAGATGAGCTCGCCTCAACTGTTAAGCTCGCCTGATTTGAGCGGTTCGCCGAAACTGGGAACCTGGCTCAAAGAGATGAGCTCGCCTCAACTGTTAAGCTCGCCTGATTTGAGCGGTTCGCCGAAACTGGGAACCTGGCTCAAAGAGATGAGCTCGCCTCAACTGTTAAGCTCGCCTGATTTGAGCGGTTCGCCGAAACTGGGAACCTGGCTCAAAGAGATGAGCTCGCCTCAACTGTTAAGCTCGCCTGATTTGAGCGGTTCGCCGAAACTGGGAACCTGGCTCAAAGAGATGAGCTCGCCTCAACTGTTAAGCTCGCCTGATTTGAGCGGTTCGCCGAAACTGGGAACCTGGCTCAAAGAGATGAGCTCGCCTCAACTGTTAAGCTCGCCTGATTTGAGCGGTTCGCCGAAACTGGGAACCTGGCTCAAAGAGATGAGCTCGCCTCAACTGTTAAGCTCGCCTGATTTGAGCGGTTCGCCGAAACTGGGAACCTGGCTCAAAGAGATGAGCTCGCCTCAACTGTTAAGCTCGCCTGA